TTGTGGAGTGGCATCGAGTTGGTTCCAACCCATAGCGACCCTGTATAGGGTTTCTGAGGAGCAGCTGGTGAGTTCAAACTGCCAACCTTGCAGTTCAAATGGCTTTGCAGTCTGGAACAATAACCCACAGCAGCACACCAGGACTCCTTTGAGCTTTATTGTTGTTGTTATTGTGAAGTGCCATCAAGTCCGTTCTGACTCACAGTGGCCTTGTATAGGCTTTCTGAGCAGCAGCTGGTGGGTTTGAATCGCCGACCTTGCAGTTCAAATGACTTTGCAGTCTGACGCATTAGCCCACAGTGCCACACCAGGACTCCACCATCACATTAAGGGTGAGTTAACTAACCATTTGACCAAATATAGCAGGCTAATTTTTAAATTGATAATTTTGTATGGCCTGTGAATTATGTTATAAATTTTGGCAGGGAAAAAGTTCTCCAACCCTGGTCTACAAGAAACCTCCCAATAAACAGCTCCCCTCTTTCCCATTTAATTGTGAACTATTAGATAATAAAGTAAAAATGGCAGCCATGACAGTTAGCCTCAGGGGGAACTACAAGACTGACTGGATGATAGGCTTTGCTACAGAATTCAGAATAACCTTGAATCTAAGCTTGTTATTGTTGTGGTTGTTAGGTGCTATTGAGTCAGTTCCAACTCATAGCAACCCTATATGCACAATAGAACCCTGTCCTGCGCCATCCTTACAATCATTATTTTGAATTGTGCCCCATCAGCAAATGAAAGTCCAAAAGCTTTTATTTCATTCATGTCAATATGGCCAACTCTACTATAAGTAGGCAGTTCTTCCCCATTCATATTTTGAGGGTCTTCTGACCTGAGAATCTCATCTTCCAGCAGTATATCTGACAATGGTCTGCTGCTATTCATAAATTTTTCCATGGCTAAACATTCAGAAGTAATCCACCTACTCTGGAATTTTCACTGAAACCTGTCCACTGTGGGTACCCCTGGTGGTGGTGGTGGTGGTGGTTGTGTGTCATCGAGTTAGCTATGGCTAAGCTCCAGCTCATAGCGACCTTGTATGGCATTTCCAAGTCTGTAAATCTTTATAGAAGTAGAAAGACTCATTTTTTCTCCCTCAGAGGAGCAGGTGGATTCAAACTTCTGACCTTGTGGTTAGTAGCCCAACATATAACCCACTACACTACCAGGGCTCTATGGTGCCCCTGCTGGTATTTAAAATACTGGTGACATAGTTTCCAGGATAGGAGACATCGCTTCCAGCATAGGAGATCTGGTTCCATTGTGGGTAACGAGTTGGCTTCTAACTGCAAGGCACGCAGTTTGAATCTACCAACCGCTCTGTGGGAGAAAGATGAGGCTTTCTACTCCTGTAAAGACTTAAGAGTCTCAGAAACTGTATACAGGGTTGCTACATGGCACATAACCACAAACCCACCAGTTTCCAGCATCACAGCAACACACAACCACCACAGTACGACAAAGTGACTGATGAGTAGTGGTGGATCTAAGGAGGCTTAGGCAACAAGACTTACTCCCAAGTGAAAAAGCTGAGCTATGAATGTTCAATGTATCTTGCCTACTTTACTAATCTCATTTCATTAATATTTACAATTAAACCTTCCCAGGTTTCAATTCCAACTCATAAAACCAACTTTCCATTCTTTACGGTGTCTGTCTTTAATCACTTCAAGTGCAAAGGATTGAGCTAATCACACTCATTTCAGGCTATAGTATCATCAGTGCTCCACACAACAAGCTTTTATGTTTGCTTATGGACTTGTACCCTGTTTATACACTGCCCCAACATGATGAAAATCCTTTTTGGTCTTCTGATGCCATCCTGGAGTGAGTGTTCTGCTGTTTCATGCAGCTTCATGATGGGGGATGTCTAGGCTTCTTACTCAGTTTTGCTGGTGCAGGTAGTCATTGAATCTGGTTTATTTGTGGTATTTAGCAAGAGTAGAGCAGTTCTTGTCTAAAAGTTTTCTGTCCCGCTAAGTTGTTTCTTTTCTAACCCTTCAGATTGAGAAAGCAGATTTTTATTGTTGTTGTTGTTAGTTTTTGGCTTTTTATTTGTGCCCATTGGAGTTTCTGGATTGCAAGCATCTTCAGTTCCAGTTCTGTGATATATGAGGCAAAAGGAAAATACAGAGAATTTACCATCATGTCAAAGGGATCTCTGAACCACAGAAAAAGAACACAGCTTTGTAAAAGAGGTTCATAGAATAAGCACCAAAGACTCTTTAAAACTGAAAAGGGGAAAGGGGGTGGGAGGGAAATTGTTTGACTCATACTTTAACCAAAATCTACCCAAAAGTATCCTTAAAGATCTCACTCAGTAAGTTTAAGAAGGCAATGAAGTGGGTGGTTAAGAGAGAGGAGGGCGGCTTGGCATTAGACTATCAGGCTTCCAGTAAGAGCTCTGTTAATAAATGTTGGGTCTCCTGGATTTCATATAACCTGCCTCTCAATCTTCTAATTTATTGATCACTATTCAAATAAAGGAGTCCTGGTGTGGTGCTGTGGGTTAATGTTCCAGACTGCAAAGTCATTTGAACTGCAAGGCAGGCAGTTCAAGCTCACTAGCTGCTCCTCGGAAACCCTATACAGGGTCGCTATGGGTTGGAATTGACTCGATGGCACTTAACAACAACAACATTCAAATAAAGGATCCTGGTGTGGTGCTGTGGAATACAGCACTGGATAATAAGGTCGGTTTAAATACAAAAGTCGGTGGTTCAAATGCACCAATCAATTCTTGGAAACCCTATATAGGGTTTCTATGAGTCAGAAACAACTCAGTGGCACTTAACAGTAACTGCATTCAAATAAAGGGGGCCTGGAGTGGCACTGTAAGATAGGTACTGGTAAGCGCAAGACCAACAGTTCAAACCCACTGGCCACTCCTCTGGGTCATTATGAATTGGAATCAACCTCCTCAGGGTCTTCTTTGAGTCAGAATCAACTCAATGGAACTTAACAACAAGAACATTTAAACAAAGATTTCATCAACTAATTGCCACCTAAATAAAGACTTCAGCATGAAATCCTATTAAGAGGGGATCAGCACTGGACCAAAAGGCCAATTTGAACCACAAGGTTAGTGGTTCAAACTCAACAGCTGCAACTTGGAAATTCTATACAGGGTTATTATAAATTGGAACCAACTCGATGGCATTAACAACAAGAACAACAGATGATACAAACTTGCTTGCTGGAAGCAAAGAGGACTTAAAATAATTACTGATGAAGATCAAAGATTACAGCCTTCAGTATGGATTGTACTTTAATATAAAGAAAACAAAAATTCACACAACTGGACCAATAAATAATATCTTGGTAAATGGAGAAAAGATTGAAGTTGTCAAAGACTTCATTTTGTTTGGATCCACAATCAACACTCATGGAAGCAGCAGTCAAGAAATCAAATGACTATTGAATTAGGCAAATCTGATGCACAAGACCTCTTTAAAGTGTTCATGAGCAAAGATATCAATTTGAGAATTAAGGTGTGCCTGACCCAAGTACTGGTATTTTCAATAGCCTCATATGCATGTGAAAGTTGAACAGCGTATAAGGAAGACCATAAAAAAATGAATGCATTTTGACTTATGGTGTTGAAGAAGAATACTGAAAGTACCATAGACTGCCAGATGAACAAATAAATCTATTTTGGAAGAAATACAGCCAGAATGCTCCTTAGAATCCAGGATGACCAGACTTTGTCTCTCATGCTTCGGACATATTATTAGGAGGGACCAGACTTTGTCTCTCATGCTTCGGACATATTATTAGGAGAATGACATGGTGCTTGGTAAAGTAGAGGGTCAGCGAAAAAGTGGAAGACCACCAATGAGATGGATTGACACAATGAGCCCCAGTGTAAAATCAATTGTGAGGATAGCACAGGAATGGTCAGTGCTTCCTTCTGTTGTGCGTAGGGTCACTATGAGTCAGTTAAAGGCACCTAACAACAGCAACTTGAATTGTGGTGTTGGAGGAGAATACTAAAAGTGCCATGGACTGCCAAATGAACCAATAGATCTGTTTTGGAAGAGGTGCAGCCAGATTGCTCCTTAGCAGCCAAGATGGCTAAACCTCGTCTCTCATACTTTGGACATATTGTCAGGAGGGAACAGTCGCTAGAGAAGGATGTCACGTTTGGTAAGGTGGAGGGTCAGAGAAGGAGAGGAAGACCCCCAATGAGATGGATCGGCCAGATGGCATCATTGATGGCGTCAAGTGTGGCAGCAGTAGTGAGGTTGGCCCAGGATCGGACATTGTTTCATTCTGCTGTGCATGGGGTCGCTATGAGTCGGTTCTGACTCGATGGCACCTGACAACAACATTTACTTAGAAACTATGGCGCTGCTGGATAATGCACTGGACCCCAAGGTCAGTTTGAACTGCAAGGTCAGTTTGAACTGCAAAGTCAGAACTGACTAAATGGCAGTTAACAACAACAACAACATGCTAAGAAAGATATTTACCCTCTCGATATCAAGAATTTTATCTTGCGTTTTGTGTGTATGTGTGTGTGACATAAGATCATCTCCATTCAGTATGGAGTCAATAATTTATTTTTTTTAAGTTATAGAAAACAAGCATTAAGATTTTCAGAGAAAGTGGAAAATGTCCTCTTTGTAAAGGCATAAGCTGTCTGATGACAAACAAGCTGAAATTCACTCCTTCACATATTCAACTATAAGAGGAACTTTCCTTGAGATAAAGTTTGTGAAGATAGGAGATGAAAGGCTTTAGAAAAGTGGGTAACTGTTTCAAATAAGAGGGGTGGTCACCACTTTTCTTTCATCATCATCAGGACATTTTAAACTTTTTTTAGTTTCGTTACATTCAAGAAGTGTATAGTGAGTGGCTTTTTACAAAGATGGCGCTGAAAGTGAAGAAGGAAGTCACTGTACCTCCTCAAGCTGAAGCCAAAACAAAGGCATTAAAGGCCAAGAAGGCAGTGTTGGAAGGCGTCCACAGCCACACAGAAAAAGAAGATCCGCATGTCACCCACCTTCCAACAGCCCAACACTCTGAGGCTCCGGAGGCAGCCTAAATATCCTAGGAAGAGTGCCCCCAGGAGAAACAAGTTTGACCATTATGCTATCATCAAGTTTCCTCTCACTACTGAGTCAGCCATTAAGAAGTTTGAAGATAACAACACACTTGTGTTGATTGTAGATGTCAAGGTCAAAAGGCTTTCACATAAGGCTATGAAGCAGCTCTGCAACATTGACATAGCCAAGGTCAACTTCTTGATCAGGCCGTTTGGAGAAAAGAAGGCATATGTTCGACTGGCTCCAGACTACAATGCTTTGGATGCTGCCAACAAAATTGGGATCATCTAAACTGAGTCCAGTTGGCTAATCCTAAATAGTAATTTTTTCAATATAAAATTTTTCTTAAAAAGTATATTGTGATCAAAAATGATAAATTTGTATAGGGTTTAAACTGCATACACATCACAATATCCATACAAGTAAGTGAATATATAAATGTATTTTTCTATAAAGACCTAAATCTGCAGCAGTACCAACAAACATAAAAACTTCAAATATTCTGGAAGGTTTTCCCACCATGTAGAATGAGCTCAGCAAAGTTTCACCAAAATAGAAGAGATGGAAGGTAGAGACCTTGGCTTATAGGTTTTTGTGAATCAAAAGGACCTTCTGGGCAAAACTGCATGTGGAGATTTGATTTGAGAAGTATGAGGAGGCTTCAGAAAGTTTGTGGGGAATTCTATTTTCTGATTCTATTTTCCACAAACTGTTTTTTTTTTTTTTTTTTTTTGAGTCCATGAAATATGTACTTTAGTGACTAAAATGTGCCAAGATTGGTACATTAATGCTAACAAATGTACAGCATGAACACAAGATGTTAATAACAGGGGAGCCATGTATAGGAGAGGGGCACATGGGAACACTCAGATTCTGGCGACAGTGGGCCATACGGACTGGGCTTAAATCCTGGCTCAGATGGCCACTTTCAGGGACCCCGCCATTCTCACCCAGAGCTACGAACTGGCCCGATACTCACAGGGGTGTGGTATCAGGACACCCCTTTGTCTGGGCCAGTCTGTTGTACCTGTCAGCATTCACAGGCAGACTAGTCATCTTTCCTTTGGGGCCACTGAGGCCTTTCTGGGGCCCCCAGAGGCTGCTGGGGGCCATTTCCGTTCTCAGCAGGAGAACCCCAGCCTGTATGGCCCTGTCCTGAAGTCCCACTGGTACTCCTTGAAGGTGGGTAAAGGGGCAGCTAACAATAGGCAAAGCCAACAGTGTCTTGTCTTGCTTGTGTCTGGCAAGTGCAGGCCCAAGGGTCCCCAATCCTTCTGAAACCCAGGGAGGACGGCCTGTGCCGGGTGGGGAGGACGGAGATGACAGGGCTCTCATTGGACCCCATGCTCTCTGTTCCACAAACTTTTTGAAGCCCCCTCATGTTATAGAAACTCTTGTAATGATGAAGGAAGAAAGGGCACCAACTTATAATTCTGAACACCTTTGTTCCATTCCCAGCTTGGTCAGTTACTAGCAGAGAGTTTGCCAGCCAGTCCTTTAACGTCTTTGCATAATTTATTCATCCAGAAATAGAATAATAATAGCTACCTAGGCCTCCAGAGTCTTTGAGTGATACAAATGGTTTACATATTTAGCTGCTAAGCAAAAGGTTGCAGGTTCAATGCACCCAAAGGTGTCTCAGATGAAAGTAGGCACTGAAAACTCCATGGAGCACAGGTATATTCTGACACACATAGGGTTGCCATGAGTTAAAACCAACTCTCTGGCCACTTGTAGTCTTAGGCTTCCAAAGTCTATTGTATATATTTACCACACAGAAACTTTCCCGACTATACGCCTAGTCCTTTAAACCCAGTAACTTGTTCCAGAGAGGCGTTTGGTAATGTCTAGGAAGAATCCATAAATACACCCCTTAAATCCAGAAGGCTTTCACTGACTAGTTTTTTGAAGTAGACTACCAGGCCTTTCTCTCTAGTTTGTCTTAAAATGGAAGCGGCGCAGAAACCTGTTCACCATGGGTGACTCTAGTGGTATTTTAAATACCAGTGGCATAGTTTCTAGCACCACAGCAACACACAAGCCACAACAATATGATAAACTGACCAGCAAGTGGTGGATTCAAATACTGATTTTAGCTGTCGTTGAAATGGTTCCAACTCAGGACAAAACACTGCCCAGATCTGCACCATCCTCATAATTGTTACCCTTGAGCCCGTTGCTACTGCCACTGTGTCAATCCATCTCATTGGGGGTCTTCCTTGTTTTTACTGACCCTCCACCTTACCAAACATGATGTCCTTCTTCAGGGACTAATCCCTCTTCTAATAATAACATGTCTGAAGCATGAGAGACGAAGTCTCATCAGCCTGGTTTTTAAGGAGCATTCTGGCTGTGTTTCTTTCCAAGATAGATTGTTTTCTTCTTTTGGCAGCACATGGTACTTTTAATATTCTTCTTCAACACCATAATTCAAATGCATCAACTCTTCTGTGGTCTATCTTATTCATTGTCCAACTTTCATATGAGGCGATTGAAAATACCATGGCTTGGTTCAGGTGTACCTTAGTCCTCAAACTGACAGCTCTGCTCCTGAATATTTTAAAGAGGTCTTTTGCATCCGATTTGCTAAATGCAATATGTTGTTTGATTTCTTGACTTCTACTTCCATGAGTTGATAGAGGATCCAAGCAAAACAAAGTCTTTGATAACTTCAATCTTTTCTCCATTTATCATGATGTTATTTATGGTCCAGTTGTGAAGATCTTTGTTTTCTTTTCATTAAGGTGCGATCCATACTGAAGGCTAGAGTCTTTGACATTCACCAGTAAGTATTTTAAGTGCTCTTTGCTTTCAGCAAGCAAACTTGTATCATCTGCATATCATAGGTTATTAATGAGTCTTCCTCCAGTACTGATGCCACACTCTTCGGATTATTTGCTCAGTAAACAGATTGAGTAAGTATGGTGAAAAGATAGAACTCTGGAGCACATCTTTCTTGGTTTTGAACCATTCAGTATCCCCTTGTTCTGTTCGAACAACTGCCTCTTAATCTATGTACAGGTTCCTCATGACCAAAATGAAGTGTTCTAGAATACCCATTCTTTGCAATGCTATCCACAGTTTGTCAATAACTACACAGTCAAATGCCTTTGTATTGTCAATAGAGCCCAAATAAACATCTTTCTGGTATTCTATGTTTTCAGCCAGAATTCTGGTGTGGCACTGTGGGCTAATGCATCAGACTGCAAAGTCATTTGAACTGCAAGGTCGGTGGTTCAAGCTCACCAGCTGCTCCTTAGAAACCCTATACAGGGTCGTTATGGGTCGGAATCGAATCGACGGCACTTAACAACAACAACAATGCTTTCAGCCAATATTCATCTGACATCAGCAATAATAGCCCTAGTTCCACATCCTTTTCTGAATCTGGCTTGAATTTCTGGCAGACTCTACTGATAGAGTATTGCAATCATTTTCTAATTACCTTCAGCAAAATTTTACTTGCATGTGATGTTACTGATAATTGTTCAATGATTTCAATATTTCTTTGTGTCACCTCTCTTGAGAATGGAGACAAATAAGGATTTCTTCCAATCAATTGACCAGGTAGCTGTCTTTCAGATTTCTTGGCACAGATGAGTAAATGCTTCCAGTGCTTTTATTAGTTTGTTGAAAGATTTTAATTTGTGTCAATTCCACCAAGGTCAGCTTGGACTCCTCCTTTCATTATCATTGAAATGATCATTATCATTATCATTGATCATATGCTATCTCTTGAAATGGTGAATATTGACCATTTCTTTCCATCTTCTTTCGATGATTTCTATATCTGTCAATATTTTCCCCATAGACTCTCAGTATTGCTAGTCGAGCCATTAATTTTTAATTCAGTTCTTTCAGCTGGAGAAATGCAGTGCGTGTTCTTCCCTTTTGGTTTTCTAACTGCCAGTCTTTGCACATTTCATTTTTATATTTTGTCTTCTTAAGCTGCCCTTTGAAATTTTATGTGAAGCTCTTTAACCTCATTTCTTCCATTCACTTTAAATTCTCTAATGTAGTTTCAAATATTAGAAACACTCAAATAATCATCCTTGCTTTTCATACACTTTCATTGAATAACTTTGGATGGAATACAGCTTCCAAAGTTAGTTTCCGACTTACAAGAACCAACCAGTTTCAGACCATCCCCAACTGTTTTACAGTTCTCACTGTTAAGTAATAAATTGACATGGATACTGGTTTTGACACTTCTCTGGTTAAGTTAATCATTAATCATGGAGTTGTTGTTAAGTGCTATGGAGTTGGTTCTGACCCTGCCTGTATAGGGTTTCCGAGGAGAGGCTGGTAAGTTTGCACTGCTGACCTTGTGGTTCAAACCTACCTTGCAGTCCAGCACATTATCCTGCAGCACTACACCAGGATTTCCAAATCGAGGCACACTGACAAAAATTAAGTTTCTTAATCTACAAAAGAGAAGACCAGAAGGTTAAACCTGTCCACAGTGAACTACAGTTTTAAGAAGTCCTCTTGGAGTTCAGAGAAAAAGAGGAAGACCGCCCAGCAAGAAGGATTAGCAAAGTGGCACATCAATGGGTTTAAGTGTGGCAACAATTGTGAGTTGGCCTAGGACTGGGCAGGATTTCGTTCTATTTTGCATAGGGTCACTATGAGTTGGTACTGACTGGATAGCACTTAAAAATAACAACAACAACTTAGAGTCTAGCGGATCTGGCTATCTGATAAGTATAAGCAACCTAAGTTTTGAAAGTTAAGGAATTCCAGGTGATGAAACAATGTGGTTGCTGTAAATTATTTTGGCTATTGCATCCAGAAATTAATCTTTCTTCTCTTTCACTACCTACGTAGGATATGACTCAATATGTTTATATTCTTTCTACCCTTTAAATATCTCTAAATTTGTCCATGGCTTTTTCCTTCTGGGGATCTCATTAAAATGTGGATTCTGGTTCAGAGGTCAGGATGGGGTTAAGGACATGAATTTTTATTTCTAACAAGTTCCTGGCTTATGAAGCTGCTGGTGGTCCAGGAACCCCACTTTGCATACCCCTTGGTTCCTATGCCATCTTCATGGTCGTTGGTGGGCTCAAATGCATTGCTGTGGCCATTGTGTATTTTCAGCACTTTGGTAAGCAGCTCTGGTGGTGCTTTGGGTTAAGCATTGTGTTGTTAACCACAAGGTCAGTGGTTCAAATCCACTAGCCACTTCCTGGGAGAAAGCTGAGGCTGTCTGTGTCCATAAAGATTTATAGACTCTAGGGAACCCTATAGATAGAGAGGGTCGCTATGAGTTGGAATCAACTCAATGGCAG